CTAAGCTTTCATTTTCTTGTTCTATAAGGTCAAAGGACAAGGAATATATGCCTTTGTCACTCTTGTGGAGGGTGTTCCCTATAGTGAAGAACTCCGGAAAAGTCTTATAATGACAGTGCGAAAACAGGTTTGAATCAAATCTGGCAACTGAACTCCTTTTTTTTTTCTTTTTTTTTTTAATTAAAAAAAAAGAAAAAGAAAAAAAAAAAGACTCCTGTAACACAATGCAGATATCTTGTTGGAAATCATTGATCTAGAAGCATGACAATGTATCATTGATAAACAACACTGATCAGGGGAATCTGGCAACACTTTATGGAGATTGTAAATCTGAAGCATTTAATTAGACAAGCAATGTTTTCAGTGATTGCTCAGCAGCATTGTTTTAAAGTCACATTTTCATTATATAATTTTTTCATATATAAGGTTTATATTGTGTATGAAATTTAATTTGCTAGGGTTATTTCCGCTCATTTTTCATTCACCTTATTCTTCACTTGAACACTAATTAATGCATGTATTTGTCATTGTTCTTGCATTTCAAAACTTGTTTTGCACAGAGGATTGCTTATGATATGCATGTCCTCTTGACTTCTCTTCATTAGAAACATCATTTCTCTGTCACCTGTAAACAAATTTTCTGGTTTAGTGGACTTCCTTGTTCTACATATGATCCAGTTTTTGAGTCTGAAGGTTTAACTTGATTAACTTGGTGCATCTTCCAGATAGGAGCATTTGCAGCACCAGACAAAATACATTGGGCACCTGGTCTTCCAAAAACTAGGAGTGGAAAGATAATGAGGAGGATTCTGAGGAAAATTGCTTCCAGGCAGTTAGATGAGCTGGAAGACACAAGCACACTTGCTGACCCGACTGTTGTCCATCAGCTTATTGAACTAGCTGATTGCTGAAACTTCATAGAACTTGTTCTTTGCAGGTCATCCGTTGAGGACTGAATCCTGTTGAAGGTCGTGAAAGTTGTACATTCTGCAAAGCACTTGTTTTTCTTTATCCTTTCTCTTACAAGGGCAATATGTGTCAGATTCAGATGTGTTAAACCGGTTAATACCTTGTCTTAGTGGACTAGAAA